AGCCCGATTGAGATGAAGGCAGAAGGTGTTCAGCATCAAGGTAGGCACGAATTTGTTTATTAATTATTTTTTCGAACACTTAGTACCTACCCTTTAGGATTTTTTTGAGTCGAAACTATTCATTATTGGTCAAAACGGCTTTCATGTCCCTATCTCAACTTTTGATTTACTATCTACTGACATTTATTTGAAACAAATACAGGGTGATCAAAAGTCTGAATCTTGAAGTTAAAAATCTCGATTTTGAACACCCTATATCTCTGTATTCAGTCCCGCTAGACCCCAAGTGTAATACATTGATCAAATCAGCTCTTCAGGGAGAATCTAAAAATACAATGAAAAATAGGGTGTTTCATTTAAAAAAATCAAATAGTACCCTGTAGATCGTTTGTTCCGAGCACCCTGTATTTTCTGATCTAGCGAAAAAAAACTTTATCGAAAATCATTCAAGATAATATTTCAAATTTTAAAATCGGTTCAAAAATAACTGAGCTAGAGGGGGGGACATTTATGGTGAATCACCCTGTTCTAAGACATCAAAATTAGAAATCTGGTCTCGTTTTCCCGATTTTCTCTAAAACGAAACGTTCTATCGAGTATCAACAAGAGGATGTTTTTTGTACATTATTAAATAGCCTTTCATAGCATTTACCGAAATTTGAAGATTTTCTCGTCGCTGCACACTTTTAAGTAAAATATAAACAATAATATTCCCGTAACGGTGCCACTGGTAGCATAAAAGACATGTACCAAATTTCATGGAAATGTATAAAATATTGTCTCAGTTATTATCAAAACCCTGTATCTCGAAAGTTGAGACTTTTATGACATATGTTCATATGAAGTTTCCTTCTTAAAATGAGTCAAGGATAATCACCTCTTCAAATATTAGCATGTAGCATATATCTATTTATTATGACTTTGTCTACAAGATACGCATCTTTCGGCAATAAAGTATATTTTGATTTGATTTGATTTGATGTCTTTGAGGAACACCCTGTATATATGAAATAATTTCATATTTCATTTTATGGCCACGAAAAGCTCTGAATCCTAACTTCAGTGTTCAAAAGTGTCAGATGTGCTATTAAATATATATGATTCAAAGACGTAATAGGGTATACCTTATATATAATTATGATATCTAATAAGGGATGGAGTGATTGAGATATGATTCAATATTTTAGTACAGAATCATGAAAAGTAGAGTGTTCCATTTGAATAAATTGATTTGTGGTGTGTCATGATTCTAGGGAGCACCCTGTAAAACTTATCTCATTGATAGGGCCTCTTCGATGGATGGATGTACGTGGAAAGGACGTGAAATGAGATGTTTGAGGCACTCTAGTGGTATCAACTAGGAAAGCATTCAGTCGCTTTATGTATCATTTCACAACAAAATATTTTTATAGTTTCTCAGGCAATATTACCACTGTTCAGGGAACATTACATATACCTATGTGATATTACCTCGCTATATGGTCATAGCTATGGTGCTATGGCTATAGACTCTAGTCTAGAGATGCACAGACTTATAGGGATTCGAGGGAAAATTATAAGAAAGAGACGGGCGACGGGCGCCACTACAAAGAATACATAATATTCATACAGATATGTACATATTTTTGAATTATATGAATTATTACAAATGATAGGCAAAAATGAAGGAAAATGCAAAAATGCTTGTTGTAATTATGCAATCGAAATGTAATCTAGTCATTACAGTGTAATATTTCTTGTTTTATTATTTTGAAGCATGACATTGCAGTGATTTAGAATTTTTAAAATTTATTGTTGGCGGGCCGTAAAATTATCGAAATTGTAGCCCTACTCTAGTCTGAATAGAAGATTGAATGGACATGACATGAACGTAATTTTGACTTCATTTTAACGTCACCGTTAGGTGAGTGACTGCCGTCAATAAACGTGAGTAATATGACGTAATTGGGCTGTGACTCATTATTCACGTCAGTTATCACGTCATACGACGTCAACTCCTGACGTCACTTTGACCATTCAACTGACGTAAAAAGACGTCACTGAACGGCATCTGGTTGCCTGGGAAGTTGAGGTTCCCCATTTTGAAAACTGAATTAAACCGTTTTCCTCGCTTTTTTCACACACTTCACCACATAGTATAACTTTCAAAATCGTCTCAATCGATAAAGAGATGTCGAATATGACACAAATAGTTATGTGGATAATATGAAGATGAATAGAATATATGATTGATAAAAACCTACCTGAAAATATAGTGTATATATTATTATGATAGAACATTATATATATTTTATGATGAGACTAAATATATGTTGGCAATACATTTACTCAATGATCTGAAACTCATATATGTTCACAGGGTGTTACCTAATACTGTCGTCTCAAATCCTAGCAATTAGTTCCACTCAACAAAGTATACAGGCGGGTGAATCTGAATGTGATGAGTTTTTTTTTCAATAGGATATATATCTCACCAAAATAAGTTGTTTGGCAAAAAATTGCTCACATGAAATATTTTTAAGATAATGGATGAGGTACAGGTATTTGAAGGTTTGAAGAAGACTCTAACTATGGAACATCTTGTTTACATTTCGGTTAATATGCGCAAAAAAGCCATTATAAGTCCAGCATTATATACCATATACAGTTGCATTATTTCATCACAAAAATTCAGCAAAAACCGTTTTGTACATTTTCAACATATTAATTTTCGTATTAATGTGATTTTTTATCATATTTTCTCTAATGAATCTCAGATTAACGAAATTAGAGTTTTAATTCACCAAACCTTAAAATACCTGTACCTCCGGCTCTTACATTTTTTATATAAACAATTGTTGGTCAAACATCTTCTTTTAGCGAGATATATACCCTGTTAAATAAAGAAACCTCACTTTCAGATAAGGATGGAATAGTACAAAACTATATTATTCCTATATATTTTGATGATTGAAGCTGATTACCGAAGTTTGTCAAAGTACGAATAAGGAATAAACGCCCATTGAAAATATGAGTAACAAATATATATATATATATGACCACAAAGACATGGAACAATAACGTAAATATAGTGGTAACGACAGTTTATTATAAAAGTAGTAAAAGTTTTGAATCAGTAAACAAAAGGAACGTTAAATAAATGCCTTCGTTCAGTTGAAATAATAGTTTTTTTCTTTTGGAGCGCACGAAAGGAAATTCCTATAATAATGTTCGAAGGTTGACTATAGGTATACTATATTATGGAATTTTTGTTTCTGCAAATAGGTCAACAGGTTACAAATTAGGAGGGTGTTGCGGGTTCCAATCGCACACACTGTATGTATATAAAATGAGTGAAAAAATTCAAAATTCAAATCCATCAATTCATCAAAACCAAAAAAATATTTGAATTTTTTATTCCTTTCGTTTGCGCCTGTTTCTTGGTATGTCAGGAGCGCCATAGGCTAAAGGCGCGGAGGGCTAAGCTCTCCTGTTTTATGAGCCAGTCCGTCCCTGTGTAGGTCATTAACATATATCTACCATTTCTATATATGGCGCATCGCCTATACGATATCTCAACGAAAATGGGACCAAAATGAGAGGAACTTTTGAACATATAAGGACGGAAAGTGAAGGATGGAAACTGCTGACGTGAGGATCAGATTTTAAGTTAGGTTAAGTTCGTGAATAATTATTTGATCATAATAAAATATTAATAATCATCAAGCGTTGATAATACCACAGTATAATACCGTCAACTTCGATTTATTCCTTTATAATGTTGTTAAAATATAGCACAACATAATGTCAGTAACTTTGAGGAACAGGAAATAGCCATTGCAGATGGATAATGAAATGAACTGCGATAATGATTTCATTCATTTTGGTGGAATCTCGAAACTAACACGCTTTAATCCAACATCATTGCTTCAGATCGTTGAACATAGGTCAGGGTTATGTATTCTTTTTCAATGTGGTGATTTTATTGATTCAAACTTGGTTTACTGTAAGAACATTTCCCATTATATTATGCTTGTTGGTTTGTTGCTGGACGATTGATAACTCTATTGATAATGTATGAGAAAAATGATGAGGCTGAAGCTCCATTGTCAAACTCATGTTGAACCAACCATTACCTACAAAGCATTGGATTTCATCAAATGTAATCATGTTTTTTTATTAATAGGTAAAAACTCACTCACACAGGCTCTGGAACACATTGCCATGGGAGGTGTTCCCCGAGGCATATAACCTTCAGAAATTTAGGAAGAACACCAATTCCTACCTTATTTCTCTTGGTTCTCACGATGTTCTCTGAAAATTACAGGATATCCCTTCGTGGGAACCAGAACATGAAAAAAACCTTTACTAGTAGGTAAAGTACTATACCTATATGCATCAGATAAGATATTATCATCAAAAGCTTTCTCCTAAATCCTATAACTGCAGTTCTATGATTTTCAGTTTCAGATCTACCTACTTATTTGCAAGCCGCAGCAAGCCCAAGATTTTTTTGAAAATTCAAACTTACTTATGAAAAGAGGATTCCTGTCTATTCTTTGCTCCGCAAATACTGCATTTCGTTCCACTAGACATGGTCAAAAAAGTTCAGTCTAGGAAAAATAAACGAAAACACAAACACTAAAGGATTGTACAACTAAAAACGCAAATACTCGAATTTCAATCACAATCAATCACATACGCGCTAAAGACAATTTAAAAATTTGAAATTCGTAGCCATATTGGTTCAACAAGTTTCGTATCATTCTTTTCCTACGTCGGCATCAACGCTCATTGGTCGATTTCGTTACCTATAGAGACAGAAGTTGGTCGAAACTTTCTGATTGGTCTAAAACTGCTTCGCTACCGAAAATCATGGCTGTCTAAAATTTTCACACCTGACGCCATTGACCCTACTTCGAATATCAAGTTTGACAAATTGACATGACATGTCAATGTCATGATGACATTGTCGTACTATTCCATAATAATAAAAAAAATAATAGAATTTGTAGATTGTCATCATAGATTGAACTTCAAATCAAATAGAGAACCTATTTTTCAATGGGAAAACATGTTTTATTCCAAAATAATGTATTCGTGACATATGGAATTTTCGTTAATCTGATAAGAAACCTTTGTGATAATAGTATTTTCTGTTACATATTTTTTTGAATCCTCTATTCATTTTATTACAATATTATTATGAATCATCAAAAACATGAAGAGTTATGCTGAATATTTGTAAAAAGTGGGTAATTTTCTAATTTTGAATTTGATCCTATAATATAATTATCTTTCAACAATGTAGTATTTTTGTTACAGGCAGAATATAATATACATTGAAATTTTCAATCAAGTACCTACCTAAAAACAACAAGCAAAATGGAAAATGGATATAGTAATAGAGAAACAAATAGAAAAGAAGATATAAATTGGTCAAGATTTGGATTAGGGTCAGAATCAGCACAAAGAGCAAGAGCAAATACAAGTGGTTTTATAGATTTATCAAATGATTATGGAGCAGGAGGGCACCAAGCCTCTGGGGCCAATGAATTGTTTGCAGAGGAACAGGTAGTGTTGTGAATTGAATATATATGATGTGACTAACAGTATCATAACATTTACATTTACCCATTTGAAGAGATTTATATTCTATCATAACACTATTGAAGCATTCTACTTTTATTGTACTCAAAAAGATTTCCATCAGTTGTAGCTATATAGAGTATGAACTAGTTTGATTGCAAACAATTACTAATTTACCAAAGATTTTCAGATGAATATTTCAAAGGGCTAGATTTTCCATTGTTTTCATCACTTTGAAAATCTCTCAGATTTGAACTAATAATCTTAATTTGATCATTTTCTTCAACTCAACCTTGTAAACAAATACTCTAAACCAGCTCTACAGCATACCTATTATTGGCCCCTTGGAAGAGGTTCAGATTCCACCTCAGATTCCACTATATGTATATGTTGTATGACCCACTCTTCTTAATCACACCCAAGTTTCTTTTGACTTGTGGAATTAGTTTGTTATTCTGGAGGGGCAATATACACATTTTTTCATATTTATTTTGTTTATCACTTTCCTAGGTGGATTCATCTGGAAGAATAAATTGATAATTTGTTAATGTAACATGTTGTTTTGCGCAATTTGAATAAAAAGAATCAATGAAATACCTATAACTGCTAAAGCATTCAATTATTTCAATTAATTATTATTATCAAAATTAGTGTTCAGTAGGATGCTGAGTAAGAGACAAATTTAGTAAAAGTATCACATAATTCAACAAATTGAATTTTCAGGTTCGAATCATGACCTTTATTATATATACACAGTGCTCTAGAATTTTTTCCTGATATTTCTGAGGATCTGATAGTGATAATAAGGAGTGTCACACCTTTGGAGGAGGGAATTATGGATATCAGTTTTATGAAGTGTAATATTCAATTTTGAGTTGACTGTATGATAAATGTCTAACTTATTTCAAACCCTCTCAATGTGTAAAAGGGCCAATTAAAATGGGTGTCTAGATAGCCCTTATCTAAGTTATAGATATATAGATACAGGTAAAATTGATGTTTTGGGCTCTGCTAGGATATTGCAGAAAAACTGATATTTTTTATCACCCTTCAGAGGGGTGTATCTCACACATTATTCATTTTCAGAAATGAATTTATGAAAAATAGTTATTCTAGAATGAAGCCCCGGAAATATCAGGAGATACTAATGGTAACTAAGCCCATAACATTGGGCTCTATGAAACCACCTTAGCAGTGGTGTCCATGTGGGGGGTCCATGGAGTCTCAAAAACAAAATAATGTAGTCAACATATCTATGTGGCAACATGAGATTAAAGTGGCAACATAAAAATATGTATGGGATGTTTCACTCCTATATATTCTATAATGTTTATATTTATATAAGTGGTGTTTAATGGGGTGAGAACAGGGGGAACCATACCTCCCAGATAATTGTGGAAAAATAAAATACCTATAGAGTAATAAGATTAGAAGTATCTTCTATACCTATCAGTGAATTGCACAGGATACATGTTCACATTCCTGAAATTTTAGATCTCCCAAATGACATTGTATTCAGCAGAGATATATCAATAACAGCATTATATTATCATTAAGTAATGTCTTCCCATCAAAACCCACTAGTACCTCAACCTCCCATATACCAGGTGTCCCAGTATACCTGTTCCAATGGATTATCTCAGTCATTTCGAAAGTAACGAATTTGAAAATTTCATGATCTCCAATTCGTTCAAGGATCCTTCAACTGAGAAGAACGAAAATTAAAAGTCACTTCCGGTTTGACCGAAAGTGACTCTCACTTCTTCATTTCATATCGCACCCTGTATATTTTTTGCAATTTTTGCTTTCTACTCAAAATTGCCGTTCCAACGATGTATCACACTTTGTATTTCACATTTGATATGATGAAGAAAACGACCAATTGGAATTTGGAATTAAAATCAGTATGATATCCAATTTCTCTTGAATTGTGAAGTTATCATATCATTTTCACGGTTATTCATTCTTGAATGTCGCACACAACCATTGAGAATTATAAACTGTCAAAGATACAAACAAATGTATTCAAATATTTCCATGGCACACTAAGATTTTCATTCAAGAATTATTAATTCTTCCAGTTCTACTACATATTTCTATAATAATTTGAAATTTGACGTTCTCTTCATCATCTCGAATGCAAAATTGTTCATAAATTATCAATTATTGAGGAACAAATCATTATACAAAATATCGTTGTCTACTGCAATTCTTTCGATTTCAAATTTCAATTTGTCGTTTTCTTCATCATATCAAATGTAAAATGCAAAGTGTGATACATCGTTGGAAAGGTAATTTTGAGTAGAAAGCAAAAATTGCAAAAAATATACAGGGTGCTATTTGAAATGAAGAAGTTAGAGTCACTTCCGGTCAAACCGGAAGTGACTTTTAATTTTCGTTTCTCTCAGTTGAAGGTTCCTTGAACGAATTGGAGATCATGAAATTTTCAAATTTGTTACTTTCGAAATGACTGAGATAATCCATTGGAACAGGTATACTGGGACACCCGGTATACTGGATATTTTCAATCACTTTTACATCATTATTATCTACACTAAAAATCTTCTGTTATTGGTAGTATTACCTCAAAGGTTATCTGATGCCTTCTAGGTTTTGTAATTCCACTGGAGTATGCAGATTCTGCGAAATTCTTTCCAACAACTAAAATTTTTCTTCTACAATGGATTTTCAAAGATTAAATATGACTTATTTTCTGGTGGGAGGATATTTGTTCAATTTTCAACCGTTTGACTTTGAAACAATTTCGTCGTCTGCTAAAGTCTGCTTATTTCACTCTGTTCTGTTCCACAAAGGGCGCAGGTAGATAGATTCTGATCTCTTCATCTGAAAAACTGAAAACAATATCCTAGAACCCTTTGTAGCCAAGATGAACCGATTATTAAGTAAATAATGATTTTTGTATGTGAAATGAAATTTCGAAAATATGGCTGTATATGCATGTATATGAATATGAATCTCTTCTTGATCACTGAAAATTCATGAAAAAAATAATGGTATTTTGCTTTAGGGAGATGCACCTTGGTGGAAATCTAATTTTTTCATATCCCAGCCAGTGTTATTTGGGACATGGGATGGTGTTTTCACATCTTGCTTAATTAACATTTTTGGTGTGATAGTATTTTTACGATCTGGATGGATAGTTGGTCAAGCTGGAGTTTGTAGTGCTATTACTATAGTTTTATTCACAGGTAGATGAATTGATTTGCTTCAAATATGTAACCTGGTTTACACATTCAGCCACATATATTTATTTTACTTGTTTATCAATTCAATGATGATATTAAAAATGGTTGGTGATAACTTCCGGATTGATTATTGTTGATTATTGATGAAACATGTTAAAGTATGAGCTTGAGTTAGTCTCAGGTGCTTGATTAATAATACTCTATTCTAAAGAGGAAGTGAGCAATAAGTAAATTAAATATTCACTGATGCCAAAATACTATACATCCTCATGTGTTTTTATGTTAAGTTGTATCAAATTCAAAAATCATTATTAGATCCTCTTAATCCATGTAGAATACGAAATGGGTCAAAAGAGGAGCAAATATGGGTTTTTCATCAACTATTAATTTCAATATGCAGTTAAGAAAGTTGAATAATTTCAAATGATTGGAATTTATTTTTTCTGACTTCATTTCAGAATTTATTTATTTAAAAAATAATTTCACATTCTCATTGCTACTTTTTTCCTGAACAAACTCTGAATCCGACGTCTTGTCTCAAGTCTGTCATCATCAAGTTATGTGTTTTAAATACCAATATACATTTTCAAGTACAATAACGTCTCATACTCGCCTAAAAATTGCCATATTTGGAGAAATCAAATTTGTTAATTCATTCAAATCTGACTACCTCTTTCTAATACATTGAATCATAATGGAGAACATCTCCGTTCATTTATCATGTACTATGTTTTGTATTGTATGCACAAGGGGCGAATACACTGTCACTTGACAGATCTATTGTGCCTCCTTATTTTGCTATACCCGATTAAATTGTTCTTCATAGGTATAGCAATTCCTCCTATCCTATATATCCATCAGAAATTTCAGGATGAGGTGATTCCAGGTAGGGTAGCATCTCCCCTATTATGTGTGCTCCTAGGTTTCTTACCTTTGGGTTTGGTAGTGATACATTCCATAAGTATTGGGATATAGGTTTCCTCCTCCTCCCAACAAAATCTGCGTTTATCTCCCTCTTCTAAGCCGATCTTCCTAAGATATTCTTTCAATAGGCAGTGCCCTGTTAGGACTCGCGTCAGTATAAGAAGTTTATTTTTGCTTAAGCTGGCATCCATATGCGTTCGATCTTTTGTGGTTATATGTACCCAGTTGTATATTAGCCCAAATCGTAGGAACCATCCATATTTCTCAAAGTGGTCCAATTAATTCTCAAGAAACAACAATAAAAGGCACAAAGTCGGTCGAACACAAAAATTATTTAATAAGAAGTGTAACTAGTTTTGGCTTCAGGCCATCATCAGACACAAAATTGATGTATTAAAGAAGTACCTCAGCGATACATATTGAGAACAAAATTACTAGCCAAGGTCAAAATTCATAATATTATCGGTCCTCTAATTCAATATGGATTTAAATCTGGGGAAGGTCCAGTAAAACCAGATTAACATTTCATTATTGAGTACATCAGTAGAAATTTTCATAAATTCAAAAAATTCTCTCGCGTGAGATTCATCAGGCTACAATGCAAAATGCAAATGTACTCCTTTAATAATGAAATGTTAATCTGGTTTCACTGGACCTTCTCCAAATTTGAATCCATATTGAATTACAGGACCGATAACATTTTGAATTTTGACCTGGGCTAGTAGTTTTGTGCTCATGTATTGCAGAGGTACTTCTTCAATACATCAATTTTGTGTCTGATGATGACTTGTGGCCAAAACTAGTTACACACTCTCATTAAATAATTTTTGTGGTCGACCGACTTTGTGCCTTTTATTGACTTTTCTTATGTATATTAGCCTGTCCGAGAACTTGAAGATTTTACCAGATGTCTAATCTTTATTTACTTCCTTCTCTTCTAAGTTTCTTCTGATTCAGTACTACTTCTGATCCCGCAGAAGGGTTCTGGCTCTAATAAGGGTGTTCGAGATCCTTTCTTAGCGAGTTTGTTCCCTACTTCATTTCCTGGAATGTCCCGGAACCTATAGGAGGGTGACTGTATTTGTGTTGGCTATCTTGCTTAATTTCCCAAACCATTTTAGAACTGACAACTATAGAGCTCAGCTCTTTAATGGCTGCTTGACAATCGGACATAATGATGATATCTCATTTTTCAAAGCTTTTTTCTTGATTGAACTGTTTACAGTTCTCTCTAGTGTGAACTTCCGCCTGAGATAAGCTTGGAAATATGCCAAGGCTTCCGAAGTACTTGATTCAAGGTACGTAGACTCATATTCTAGTTCCATCGATTTTGGAGCCATCTGTGTACAACTTTATGGCTCCTTATTTGTGTTCGATGGCCATGGATTCACTATTCCATTCTATTTTACAGTTCTGCCTTGTGGTGCATTGTTTCAAAAAGCTGCACATTTTCTTTATCTCATCCTAAGGCAAATTGTGGAATTGCTGGTTGAGTGGGCAGGTTGGCCGGCCTTTGATCACTCCTTCTTTAATAATTAATTCTGTATGTTATTCCCTCTGCCGCATTCTCCACAACTAGATGTAGAAGAGTGAGGTCTAGAATTACCTCCTTTGTGTGTAGTTCAACTTTCTTTTGGTTCATGGAGACAATACGAACCTAAATACAGAGGAAGTAAAGTCAGTATTGCTTATGATGAACATAAAAACGAAGTCGCCTGATTTTCAAGTGATCGTTGTACGTGATCCAGAAGCATCATCTCTGGACATTCGAGTTAAGGCTCTTGAATATGTTGGAAAGAGATGGACCGATCCAAATAACAAATTTGATTTCAGCAATTCCTTCTAGGCTAGTGTGATACTTTATTTAGCAGACTGAAACCTCTTGAAAAATGCAATGAGATATATATTAGGCCCGTATTTATGAGAATTTACTTTAATGACTGCCCAGAAGCAAAACCCACATTGAAATTTTGATACACCATTTTGTGAAAACATAAAGTGATAGTGAGAACGTGGAATTCATTTGAGATTGGTAAGTTTCGTTTTTTTCCTAAAGTTCACCAACCTATTTGAGATTCTCAAACTCCCTCAATGGCAGGAAACGAATTCGTTACGCCCAGTATTTTTATCATAATTGTTGATATTTTTTCTTCTGTCATTTAAGTTGTGAATTGATGATACAGTGCTCTATAAAATAGTGCTCAATGAAACATTCCTGATGAACTCGAATCAGTTTATTGGTTGTGAAAGCCAGGTTTATTGAAATCTCGTGGGGATACAATAGTTTTGTTGAATGTACAGCGTTATCCAATATTCACGTTATTTTTCACAACATGCAGAACCAAGGTGGATATATACAGGGTGATTGTTTATATTTCACTCATCAGTTATCTCAGTTAATATACAGAAACGGACAGAAGGGCAAAAATGAACTATTTTTTATCAGTATACAGAATGTAGTGTTAGAAAATGAAAAAAGCATCACAAACCTTGTATTTTATTTTCCTAAACGGTAGAGCTCTTTCTTCTGATTTCAAATATATATATACTTGAATGAGGTTATCTCTTGTCAGTTTTTGAAAAATGCTGCGATTTTTGGCGTTCAATATTTTTATTCGAAAACTGACAAAAGATACTTAACCTGAATAAAGTATTTATATTTGAAATCAGAAGGAAGACCTCTATGGTTTAGGAAAATGAAATACAAGGTGGCAATAAAACTCATATCATGATTATGATGAATATCATTCCATGTAAGTAGAATTACATTTTTTCAGTAAATGAACATCTGAAATTTCTACGCCAATGGAAAGGAAGTGGTTTGAATATGAAATTCGGATTGCGTAACATGTTCACTCCAAAAAATGTTATATTGATACAATTCGACTACTCTCATGGTTTTCCACAAAATTTGAATTCTAGTAATTCAGTCATGACTAAAACGATCAACAGATATTTCTAAAATTTGTTTAAAATTTCAATCATTTCCACGTATACGAAGATATTTACTACGAAAAAAATTGAAATGTGCTATCAGCTATTCTTTGTTGTTTTTTTTTTGTACTGAGTTAGCCAGAGCCGTCTAGCGCCCAGATTGAGCAACTATGTATTTAGGTGTATTTGCTTGTTTCAATTTTCTATTTTTGAGGAATCTCCAGAAACAGGTCGATTTTAAATTTCAATTTATTTTTCTTCAAATTAAATATTTATAGGGTGATCATCCAAGTTTGAGTAATGATATCCGCGACAATTTTTTCAAACGGAACGCACTATATTATACAATTTTTGAAATCTCTATGGGAAGCTGGATTCAAAAATATATCACACCTGAGGTTTGTCTACCGTCCGTTAAATTCAGTTGAATTCAGTACTATCGCAAAGTATAGTGGAACAGAAAAATTGAATATACGGGGTCATCCACGTTTGAGTAATAACGTCCGCGAAAATTTTTTTAAATAGAACACATTATGCCAATGAACCCTCACGGTATCCTTCTATCGATCTACATGTTTTGGAAATAACTATTTGAGAATAGTAACTGTAGTATCAGATGATCCTTCGTCCACAATAAATTATTGTTTTTGTGGATTTACAAAAATAAAAGAGGAAAAGCAGAAAAAAAGATATACTGCAGGTATATGTATATTTTCATCACAGATTCGAAAAAAAAAAAAAATTGAAAACATGATGGATCGTGGTTTCTAATTCTTTCAGAGATAACCCTGTACATGTATGAAATTAATCTTGGAGTCATCTATGCAGTTTTCCTTCAGATTAAACTAGATATTATTGTTTTCAGAACAGAGTTAATATACGCCACAAAAAACTACCTTATTTATCTAGATAAATATACAGGGTGTTAGAAAAAAACCTGACCCCCCCTGCAAAATAAGTTGGGTTTGCTCAATAAACAAATTTCGTAACGGCATCCGTTTTCGAGATACAAGGTGTTGAAAAATTGTTTTTTTCACACACTTTTTACGTTTTTTGGAAACTACTGGCAACATTGTGATGAAACTTTGTTTGGATGTGTTTTGAAAGCTGACACATCGCATGAATTCATTTTTATATCTGACTCTCATAGAGGGCGCTAGTCACATGGTTCGTATACCGAGTAGTTAAAAACATAACTAATTTGAGGTTAGTATACCGAATAGTTTTAAACATAACTATTCTGAGGTTAGATTTTTCAATCAAAATTTGATGTGAACTTGAATTTCTCACCAAAAACATACCCTTGGTAAAAATCGAGACTGTGTTCCGTTTTCGGAATATCTTGATTTGAAAATGATAAAGTGATAACTGTTACTGGTATAAAGGTATGTATTGAAGTAAGTATTATGAAAAACTATCACCTTTTCATTAAAAACCGAAAACAACAATACATTTATAATGCTAAACTCATTTATTAAACAATTAATCACAAGAATAACATTTGAACAAATTCGAATAAAAACATGGATTACACAATTCCGTTGTATTTTAAGCAAAAAGTCTATGCCAAGGATGCTACAGAGGTAAATTTACGTCAAGAGTTGCAAGACAGAATTGAACATAACCTAAATGACCTAACAGCTGATCCATAACCGTTTGGAAGAATAATGCATTCTTGAAAAAAACAAATAGGATCGTGTATTCGTGGAAACGGAGGACATTTTGAACACTCACTAACTGAATCCATATTTTATCTTTTTAGTCAATTTTTTCTTAATTTTCTACTTGTGATTCTTTGTTCAATCAATTACTTCAGTCTAAGAATAATGTCATTGTTTTTTAATTTGAATAAATAGTTAATTGATCTATATACAATTTATTTTATAGCAGCGTCAGCTATTACTCCATTATTTTGAAATCTAATATTGCGACAACGGTATCGAGTTCGATCAAGGGTACCTTTTTGATGTTGAATTCAATGATGTTCAAGGTCACATCAAATTTCGATTCAAAAATCTAACCTCAAAAAAGTTATGTTCAAAACTACTCGGTACGAACCGTGTAACTAGCGCCCTCTATGAGAGTAAGATATAAAAACAAATGCATACGAAGTGTCAGCTTTCAAAAGACATCTATACAACATTTAATCACAATGTTGCCAGTAGTTTCGACATAATCGTAAAAAATGTGTAAAAAAACATGTTTTCAACACCTTGTATCTTGAATGCCGTTACATCATTTTTTTACTGAACAAATTACCCAACTTATTTTGCAGTGTTCTACCTACCCTAGCAAGGGGGTTTTGAAACACCCTGTATAATTATTAATGTTATTTCTTAATTCAATTTTTGGGGAAGAAAAAAACACTACATAATAAGTTGAGTTGAGGTACCTACCTACATATTATGGTATCTATGTGGAAAACTACATAGTTTGGTCTAGCTAGAACTATAGGATATCCTAATTTCAAATATGTCAGATAATAATTATATTTTCTCCCATATTTGTGGAATTGACAGTAAATGCTATTCCCACCTGATTTGAAATTCAGTAAATAATCAGTGAGTGTGGTTTTGATTTGTTGTCTTCTTGAAATGTATATGAAAGGATACGGTATATACATAACTTGATAATTTTTTCAGTATTTACCGCCTTGATATCAGTTCTCTCAGCTGTAGGTATTTGTGAAAGATGTCGAATCGAGAGTGGAGGTGTTTATTTTGTTGTTGCCCATACAATGGGTTCAAGATTTGGAGGATCTCTCGGTTTGCTGTATTGCTTTGGTCAGGTAAATATTTAATTCATTAAATAAAGTATCCTTGCAACCAGATGTTGTATTATGAACTTTTTCCACGTCACTAGATGATCAAAGTGACGTCATGAGTTGACGTTTTATGATGTGGAAAATGACGTGAATAAGCCCAATTACGTCATATTACTCACTTCCGTGACGTAGAGATGCCTTCGACGTGACTTCAAAAAAATATTTTCTCACATGGTATAGTAAATACATCACGGATCAGCCCAGGTAGCAGAGTGGTGTCTAACTGACGTCATTTTCTAGTCATAAAATGACGATGTAGACATCCTTAAATTACGTCAGAGACCCTATAATGAGGTCAAAATGTCATAATATAACAATATCCTCAGCTACTTATATTTGTATCTAAGACGTTAAGGACCAAAAATTACGTTAAATCGACGTCAAAATGACGTCTTTTTTGGTCACTCTGCTACCTGGGAGCTATCGGTGGGATGTAAGCGCACCGATAATAGTTTGATAGCAATGCATGTATGTTGGCGTACGGAGATTTACTTTGTTAAGTAACGATTATCCATCGAATCTTTGTCGCTGTACAGAAATCCGAAGAACAAACACCACCACCAAATTGGTACGTCATACCGAGGACACAACATTAGACCTATAAATGACGTGAAATTGATGTGATGATCGAACAGATCAAAATGTCACAGTGACGTCAATAGTTGATGGTATGACGCTACTGACCAAGATTCACAAAATTGGTACGTCACACCGATGTGGCCCTTTGTCATGTGATGGTCATGTGGTTGCCTGGGTAGTTTCTGAATATTATTTTGCTCGTGGCGATATATTCTTCTTCACTTCAGAATATAACTTTCTGAGAAATCAATCGGTTATTGATTGATATGGTTCATAACACTTTTTGGCTGAAACACATGAACTATTAATTATTAATGTTGATTTTCGGAAACTCTTTCCATATACATATACATTTTGGAATATTTTTGATGTAGCATAACCTGGATATTATGAAGAATTCATATATTTAGTGAAGCGGTGTAATCCATTTAAGTGGATAAGAATACTTAGCTGTGTGTAGAGCGCTTTCGACTATACAGTCATTATTAGTGCATACCTGTAAGTAAGTAATCAGCTTTTAGCTATTGAAAAAGACATTAGAGAAAATTGAAATTTATTTTTAAAAAAAAGTTGAATCTAAATTTGAAAATTAGTGAAAGTTAATGAACTTTTAATTATTGAAAATACATCATGAAATTGAAAATTGAAGAATATGAATTTAAAAATTAGTAAAAGAGAGGTTACTTACTCGTCAGGCTGACAAGAAAATCATCCATCTTGTGAACCTGACGAGTAAGTAACCTCACTTTTACTAATTTCTAAATTCATATTTAACATTTTCCAATTTTATGATGATGTCTCTTTTCATTAGCTGAAAGCTGATTAACTTTCACTAATTTTCAAATTTAAATTTAACCTCTTTCGAAAAATAAATTTCAAGGTCCTCTGATGCCCTTTTCAATAGCTAGAAACTGATTATTTACTCACAGGTACGCACTGATGATGACTGTATAGTCGAAAGCGTTGCTGCCATTTGAAAAAAATCATCGATAAATCAACAGAAGTGAAATGAAGAATTTGAAAAATTAATTGACACGTTTTAGCATTTTTTGTAAAGACTTAACCGGAATTCTATGAATAAATCGGTTCCAAGATTTGTATTATATTTTGTTATAATTTCTAGGCTGTGGGTTGTGCATTGAATGTTCTTGGTTTTGGTGAATCAATGGCTGAATTGATTGGATTTGGAGATTCAAAATGGGCTGTTAGGGGAATAGCAATGGCTGCTGTTCTACTACTTAGTGTGATAAATGTGGCAGGAGTAAAATGGGTAATCAAATTGCAGTTTATTTTGTTGCTGATCTTACTCTCAGCAGGCCTAGATTTTATGGTTGGCAGCTTTGTGCATACTGACGATGGTAAGACGTGGAATTGAATAGAATGTACAAAACTATTATAGAACGACTATGACAGTTAGCAAGATATACCTGCAAAACAATTATATCCAGAATACTCTCAAGTATTTTGTGGATGATCCCAGAGAATATTTTTGATAGATACAAAGGAATTTTATATATACGTATTTCTCCTTTTTTTTCGTAAGATCAAATTTCACTTCAGAAATTCACTCTTCCTATGACGAACTGTATGAAAAACAACGTTCACACAGAGTAAAAATACGATCCTTGTGTCAGTACGACTTTGCTGGCATCATCAATATGTCTACAATTCCGGAAATTGTCCTTTTAATACATTATAACTATATCATAACAACAATGGGATATAATCGTTTTTTTTATCCTACTTCGTCTAGTATTATGAACAATTTTCATAAATCTCTTATTTGCTGGATGGACTTGATTACTAATGAAAATTCATGTTCATTATGATATGTTGCAATAGTATATATCTATAATTTCACTCTCGGTATATTACAAAATGATATGATCATAACTTGTCAGTCATTATTTTGCAAATCAATTCGTTCCTTTATAAAACGGATCTATTTTCTAGGAAAGTTGCAGATGATATCTTGCAACAGCGCATAATACTTTAAGCCCGTCCACACCACACAAAATACTAACAGGCACACGAAGAGATAAGATCTGAACTAGGGGGGAAGGGGGGGGGGCAGCTCATATTTGTTTCCAGTAAAGGATAGGGAACTTGAGACTACCGAGAAACTTCATCAATAACTAGACATGTCATACTACAACTGAGACGGTTTTTCAGAGGCGTCATTCCAGTGAATACGAGGTGTCAAGAACCTCGAGACAATGCAACGTAGGCGAAACTTTTTTTGGGCTCAAGGTCAAATGGCTTCAGATCGAAAATAAGATTTCTTTCAGAGTAATAAAAACTCCATTTCAATGTATCCAAACTCAGAAAATATTACGGTATGATGAAAAATGTGCCGCAGGCGAAATTTTCGTTGGGATTCAAGGTCAAATCTCTTCAAATTGAAAATTAGATGTCAGCCAGAGTAACAACAACTCCATCACATTATTATATAAATTAATCAGTTTCACGTTCTGAGTTTCCTGTAATTCATATTGAATCATGTTCTCACATATGGGGTTCAGCACCCAAATATACACTGATACTCTCAGATTCCTTCCAGAGAAGAGCCATTTGCCTGGTGGGTGATGCCACTTTCACTAATACTGTGACTTGATTAGAATGCCGTAGAAAAGTCGGTGACCTTTCACTTTTCTATGGATACTTCCACGGGAAATGTTCTTCAGGAATCTCTGCTATCATACCATCACTAGCAATACTACTCAGGCGAACTCGACAGGCCTAGTCAGCACATCCTTTCGTCGTCAACCTTGAAATATGTCGAACACTTTACCAAAACTAGTTCGTCTATGGATCGAACGGCAAAGCTTTGGAATACTTTGCCGTTCCAAGAACGTATAACATCCAAAAGTTCAAGAATAATTCCAACACCTACCTCCTTTCGCTATCCTCCCTGTAGATACGCACGATGTTCTTCGAACATCATAGGAATTTACTTTCGTGCGCTCCAAGAGATGAAAAAAATGTTCTGAAAATAAGAGTAATAAAAAGAGCAAGTGAAAAGTATTTTAAATAAGTACTTTTTTTTTGGTGGGGAGGAAATCCATCATGGACGCCGGAAACTTTGGGTCTATCGCTTCCGGCAGTGCCGGACTCCTACCGGCTAAAACCTCCCCTTCGCTCCGTGACTATACGGTATCGTCTCGCAACATTCATCGTATAGGCACGCGGACTATTCTCTTTCATTTCTCTCTGTGCTCTGTCGCTCTCTTTCATCCATTTCTTTCCTTGTCAAGATGTCTCTCGCCATCTTCCTAATCTCCTCCCATTTATCTTTGCTCTCGAGTATAGCTTCTCCTAGATCCCTTGCATTTGGCGCTCCTCCAATCGCCGTGAAGGCTCTTCGTCGTCTATCTTCCCATCTCCTGCATGCGAATATTGTATGTTCTGGGGTATCCTCTATTCCTTCTCCGCAGTACGCGCACTCGTCACTCGCCTCCTTACCGATTCTTCTGGTGTAAGACCTGAAGCAGCCATGTCCTGTTAGGAGCTGGGTTAGGTAGTAATCCAGCTGCCGGTGCTTGCATCTATATATTTGGTCAACTTCTGGAAATAGCTCCTTCGTCCACGTAGCTGTAGTCTCGTTTTCCTGCCATTCAAGTTGCCAGTTCCTCAGAGATACTTCCCCCTCTTCCGCCCTCGCAGCTTTTCCATCTTCTCTTCTATTCTTCTTCTCCTTTCTTCTTAAATAAGTACTGTCTGTAGGTTAACCGAGCTGGTGGATGTTCTCCAGATTTTTTGGAATTTTCTCTCCTAGTTTCATTAAATCAAAATATGAATGAGGTTGAAGATTATGTCAACTACTGGTTGAGTGATGATGATGATTTTTATCGAGCAAGGGATACTGACTCATATTTCTATTTAGCGTAATAATTCAGAGATTCCCTTATTCACTCAATTTTTTCATCTCATCCGAATCAACCAGGCGCGAATACAGGTTTGTTCCAAGGGGTGGGGGTGATTCGTGGCGCAGGGTGACAGAATGCAAAAAAGCGCCGCAGGCGAACTTCCTTTTGTTGTTCAAGGTCAAAATGCCTTTGAATTGATCGTTAGGTTCAAATTCAGTTCGTTTTATTCACCTGGAAATTTGAATTTCATAAGAGAAAAAAATCAAATTATGAATTTTGACTTTACTTCCACTAAAAAAAATGCTAGAGTGTAATTTGTTAAGACAATTCAATGAATACGTGAATCATATTATTGTTGTTTGTTTTTTCAATTTCTCCACTCCAAGACTCTAAATCAAACACTTTTCTGACATAGGAACTGAGAAAAAATGACATAAACACCATAAATATTTACAATTTTGGTTGTCATGCTTTTTATAATGTTCAAGTTTCCGTTTTGTCGCTGGAAAAGTTAGGTCAAACTTTTTTCGGTGCCCCTTGTTACGCGCCTGTCAACAACTATCACTCATAACAGCAAATAAGTTACTCATCAGTCTATTATAATGTTTCCTTAATATTGTCGAATTGCTAAAGGCGTCAATTTTTATATTTTTGGTAAATGTGTCATTTTATTTCTTATTCAGGTGTATTTTATGTGTGATATCTACTATTACACTGAATGAGGTTTAAACATTTTTTAAATAATATATTATGTTTGTCAAGTACTGGTGCAATGCAATGTGTTAAATCAATTTTACAAAATTGTATCAGTAGGTTGTATTCGTATAATTTCATTGTTTTCGTATCTTTCATTGTTTTCGAGATATTCGCTAGCAAATCATGTGAGTAAATTTTTGATAATCGCCTTTTTTATCTAGCGTATTTTGACGGCTCAACCTTCTGTTTTTACGAAAGTCCTCGACGAAGTAGTAACAAAGGATTCAATTAACTTCAAAATGTTATGTAACCTATGTATTTTTTAAGTATACATATACATAATAATGTGTCTCACTTCTAATGGAAGCACCCATATGAATCTTTCGTTATTTTGAGTTAGGTTTCTGAAATATGTAGGAGCAGAAAATATACCGAAAATACACACTATGGCCAAGTGTAGTCATCTTCAGTGATATACACCGCTCTCCAACAGCCATGGAAACAACCACATTTCCGGAAAATGATATTAGAAGGAAAGATTTGCTAGCGAAAAACCCTGCTGATATAATTTGGTAGATAATTTTATCAGCTACAATAATAATAATAATAATAATCGTTCTTTATTGAATTGAATACATATGATATAACATATAAGTACAATCATTACTATTCAATTCTACCGGCTATCGACCTAGGTCCTTCAGCCTTTAAGTTTATACTAATAAAATATAATCATTCCTGCTTGACTTTTTGAAAAATTACTGTTGATTGTGAAAAAAAAAGTCATTTTTGTTATGTTAAAATTGTTGATCCAATCGGAGAAGTATTTCAATGAGCGGTTCTTCTGGATGCTTGTGTATGGCCTGTACTTCTGGATTTCTTCTTATACAGAATTCTTGTAGTATCTCCATGTTGGTGTGTTTTCGACAGAATCTCTGGGCTAGTTCGTGTAGGCGTGTCTCAATAGGTTTTATGCCAGTCATTTCATAGAGCAGTGGGTTAGGTGGATTGTGTAGTGGGTTGTTGGGGTGGCGAATTTTTGTTATTTTTCTGATTGCAGATGTTTCGGCTACTTGCAGATTTTTCCTGATGCCTGCTTTGCAGTTTAAGAATATCAGATGGGCGTAATCTATCATTGGACGACATATCATTTTATAAATACTGCTTGCTGTTGTCAGATTTATCCCTTTCTTCTGGTATGTCAATCCCCTAAAGTGGGTTGCTCTTGAGATCATATTTTTCTTTTTTTGGTTTATATGCTGTTTAAAACTTATCTTATTGTCGAAGGTAACTCCCAAATATTTAACTTGCAATTCTGGATGAAGATTGTGCTGATGAATAATGATGGTAGGCGATGAAGGTGAAGGGTGATGGTTGAAAATGATGAAATGGGATTTGGTTGGATTGGGTTTTAGTCTCCATTTGTTGAACCATACTGTGGTTGAGTTCATCAGGCTTTGTAGGTTTTCTACCGTTTTGACCAGGGATTTTCCATGTGAAACTAAAGCTGTGTCGTCTGCATATTGGAGTATGTAAGTTGGCATGGGGAATAACTGTGGGACGTTATTGGCGTGAGTATAGATGTCGGCGCAGTATGCATTGAACAATAGAGGAGATAATGGAGAACCCTGTGGTAGTCCTTGTTTTGGGGTGAATTCATTGGAGAGACTTGATAAAATCTCCACTTTCAATTTCCGGTTTGTTAAAAAGCTCTTGATCAGGAAAATTAAATATTTGGAACATCCTAATTGGTTCAGTTTGTATAAAAGCCCCTTGTGCCATACACTGTCGAAGGCTTTGTTTATATCCAAAAATACTGCTGCTGTTTTACGTCTATTAAGCTTGCTGGCCTCGATATTGTTTGTGAGTATACTGAGAGGGAGTAGGGTAGAGCATTCATTTCTGAATCCGAATTGATATCTTGGAATGTTGACGTCTATTTGTTGGTGTATTCGATTTCTCAGTATTTTCTCCATGTTTTTTCCCAGTACTGGAAGTAGAGTAATTGGTCGATAACTTACAGTTTTAGAGTGATCCATATTTGGCTTTGGTATAGTGATGATAGTGCCTATTTTCCATTCACTTGGGATATGGTGTGTCTTCATACAGTAGTCAAAGATCTTGATGATGTATAAATGTATTGAGTGGTCTAGTTTTCTGAGCATGTTTTTTGTTACATGGTCGTGTCCTGGCGAAGTATTTTTGCCTTGACTCAATATCTCAAAGTATTCTTCTTCGTTGATGTTTTCATATTCATCATCAGGAGCATTTGAAAAGTATGTGTTGTACCATTCACTTATGAGTTCATATTGATCATTATCAAATTCGACGTCTGTGCTTTCTTCATAAGCCTTCTCAAAGTGTGCAGCAAATATTTGTGCTTTTTCTGATGTGCTTTCATATTTTATACCATTTTCTTCGATACTAATATTGTTTGTTGTTTTACTTTTGTATTTAGATAATTTTCGTATTTCTTGCCAATATGTTTTCCCTTTTTTGATATTGATTTCTTCACATGTTTTTAACCATTTATGAGTTTTGTATTCCTGTATCAATTTTTGTATATTTTTGTTTAATTGGTTGATAGCAATTTTGGCAATCGGGTCTTGATGAGTTCTGTATTCTCTATATATTCTCCCCTTTTTCCTTATCAGGCTTACGATGAAAGGTGGAAGTTCATGTGAGTAAAAGTTATATTTATATTTGGGTGTTTGTTCCAGTATTATTGTACTAAGCTTTTGGTTGAAGAGGGTGATTTGTTCATCATCTATTTCATTGGATTCCAAAGATTGAACATACTCCATCATGTTTTGGTTCACATTGTCCATGTTGGTCTGTTTGAAATTGTATCTTATTATGTCTTCTTCTGCAAGCTGTGTTTCTATATCTATTGTAATTTTGAAGGCCAGATGGTCTGAACCTAGGTCTGCAATTTCCTCAACGTTTATTATGTTTGTTGCAATATTTTTAGTGTGGAGTATGAGGTCTGGGGTTGTGTCATTATTATTTGGCAGAAGGAACGTTGGTTCTGTTTGCCTTTTTTGGAAGTTTGAATTCTGCAAAAAATTATTGAGTTGTCGTTTCTTCGTTCTATTGTTGATATTGAAGTCTCCGATTACTAGTGAATATTTGAAGAGGTTGGCTTTGGTGAAAATATTTTCTTCAATTCTGGAATGTGGATGTATGTACACTAAAAATATGTGTAGTTTGTCGTTATTGAAGGGGATGGTTACATGTAGACATTCATTGAGTGCGTTATTCAATGTTGGTGGGTTGGCTTTTCCCAATTTTATGCCGGGTCGTGCTTGGATTAGGCTTCCTCCTCTAGGTCTATTATGTATTTGACTTCCATGTTTTTGGACCACTGTCCAATTCTTGTAGGTGGTATTTGAGTCTTCTTTTATTTTTGCTTCCACAAATAGTGTACAATCTATATTGTTTGCTTCAATGTAATTACCGATTATTTGTTTTCTCAAAATGTAGCTGTTTATGTTGTTATACAGCATATTAATTGTTTGAGCCATGAATGTGCTGCAAATTTTGAGTGGAGTTTATAGGTTCTGTGGGAGATTCTGGGTTCTCGGAGTCTAATTCAAAGATCAATATGTACACCCTATTTCCGGAAAAAACTGCAATAGAATCCACATTATAGTTGTGGATGAATTGTTTTCTGAGTTTTTGCAGTAGCTCTTCTCTGTTATTGTTTGAAGGTTCATTCAGCTCGTTCACGTATGTGTTGATGATAAGATCATGAATTGTGACTGGTGAATGGATTCTTGATTTGTTTTTCTTTTCGATTGGAATATCTATGGATTTTTTGTTCAGGGGTTTTATCTGTAGGTTTGGGACTCCTTGGATTGGTGCTGTTGGTCTGTTGGGGCACTTGAAAGACCATGCTAGGTGATTTTCTGAGCCGCAACTAGTGCATTTAGGGGCAAGGGCTGAAGTGCATTCGCTGAGATTATGAGGCCCAAGACATTTTGGGCATTTAGGAGTGTTGTTGCAAGATTCGGTGGGGTGTGAAAATTGTGAACATTTGCCGCATGGCTTAGGACTTGGAGGTGGGGGTTTGCTAGGGGACACTGGATAGTGTCGGTATTTGAAGAATAATCCTTCTTTGAGAAGTGTTTCAAAAGTATGTATTGAGCTGGTAATAATTCTAATTAGCATGGTGGGATTGTTGGTTGCTCTAGATATTATTCTCTTGCAGAAATGGTGTTCCAGATGTTTTTTATTGAGATGTTCACTTATGTCTTTGTCTTCGATTTCTTGCTCTATTTGGGCTAAGACTACTGAGTAACTTTGGGTGCTTGTTGGTTATTGGGGTCTGGTGTTAGGGGCTGTTTCTTTGAAACTAATTATTCTTTTGAAGGCTACTAGTTTCTGTAGTGTTTCAATTATTTTGGTTTTGTCCTCATTTGTTTTTAATAGGAATCCGATTTTTGTTTTGATTATTTCATCCATGGCATTTGGAAATAATTTTTCCCAAGTGTTAACTAAAGTAATTCTAGCTAACCCTGTATCTGTTGTTAATTGGAATAAGTGTTTGTACTTTTTTTGTTTTTGTTGAGACATATCAGTCTTTATTATTGATGTAGAAGGGTTTTTGTAGGTGTTGGTTTTTGTGGGATTGTTACTTTTTGTTGCCTCAGGTGTTTTTGTGGGTCTTGTTGAATCCTTAGTACTGGAGCTCTCGCCCAAAATTATGGTGTTTATTTCATCTTGGGTAAGGGGTTTGTTTTTCTTAGCATTGTTATCCAATCGGCTAGGTTTTCTTTTGTGGGTAACTTTGTTCCACGATCCATCATCTGCTATTTCCATTTCACTGTAGTTACCGTCACTTGAATCAGGCATTTTCGAATATTGCTCGCTGACTATTTATTACTCTAGCTAGAGGTTAATATGCTCTGGTATACGTCTATACTCTTCCGCTGTTGCTATCGTACTATCAGCTACAATTTTGATTAGATTGACTTTTTTGCTGTGACGTACCGTTTTCAAGATTTATGTCACCACTTGGCTCCCACTAGGTTCGGGGACTTCTGAAATGTTTACTTCCTTACTCCGAACATATCTCTAGTCACAAAAAAATTTCATGGTTAGGTCAAAACATCTAAGCTAGGGTGAGGACCTTAATTCGAACATATTCGCTAGAAATTCAGAGAAAATATTTGGGTGATATGTAGAAACACTTTGATTGAAATTTTTTCTAGGCTCCATATTCATAACCAGAGATTCTCTTCTCAGCCCCCTCGTTTTATCAAATGGGGTAGTATGCCTTGTGGCATCTTGTTGGAGAGCTCATACAGAAAACAAAATTGACTGCAATTGAAAAAATGTTATGCGGATGAGTTTTGATTTGAACAAATATTGTTAGCGGTCCTAAATTGGGGGATAAAGCTCAGTCCTCCAAAGAATTTTCCTTCAAAAAAATCCAATAGTTTTGGAAATCCACATACATATTTGTAGGTAACTCTATTAATGATAAAAAACTTGATGTATGAGAGATGAGTTGTAGTGATAGTGAGCAAAAACAATTTTTGGTTTTTCTTTTATGTCATAAACTGCCGGAAAAATCTGATAAGCTTGATAAAAAAATGGAACTGATTAATAACTGGTAAAAAACTGACTTTATATTTTTTATATTCCTGAAGCCAGCCAAAAGTTATAAGGCGTTGAAAGTGTTTTCCAAAACCTCACGTTAGCGCTGCATACATAGTATAAATGCGAAGATATCCTTGAACAGTTGTCAAAATTATTAACGAATATACCCAATTTCAGGAAATGGTTTCGATGGTTGGGTCAGCGACAATATTATAAAAAATATGTGGTCAAAATACCACGAAGGATACAGCTGGTTCACAGTGTTTGGTGTTTTCTTTCCAACAATAACTGGGGTACTTTCTGGAATAAACATGAGCGGTGATCTCAAAGCCCCTTCCACAAACATACCTAATGGTACCCTGTCTGCATTGGGTACCGGTACCTTTTTGTACCTTGTATTCGTTATTTTCTTGGGGGCCACCTGTCAGAGAGATGCTTTATTGAAGGACTTCACGATAGCGAAAGACGTTTCTGTGATACATGTGCTATTTCTAGCTGGATTGTATGTATCGTCCATGTCTAGTTGCTTAGGAGCCATGTATGGTACTCCAAGAGTTCTGCAGTCAATTGCTTTAGAAAATGTGATTCCTGGAATTGGTGTATTGGGCACTGGAGTAAGAAGCACGTGATTTGAATAAGCTTATATGAATATATCCCGTCTACTTTTCAGAGAGGACCAAATAAAGTGCCGTTATATTCTATGGTTGTGGTAGCTGTTGTTACTTTTGCCTTTATATTTATTGGAGAGATTAATACTTTGGCACCAATCGTCACTATGCCTTTCTTATTAACTTATGCTGCTATAGACTATGCATATTTTGCATTAGCACAAACTTTTGATATTCGTCATCAAAGGGAACAGAGGTTCCATAGACCTAGGATGCAACACCAAATATCTAGCGATGACAGTGAGTTGGATAGGTTGTTCCCTGAACGCACTAGGCATAAAGTATTGCGGGTGAGTTCATGTCTTGAAAATTTTTGAATCATTTTCATAATGCCTGTTCTAGGGAGAATCTACTTCAAACTCAGCCAGTCCTGAAGAGAACAGTGAAACGATACCAATTACTCCAAAAATAAATATTCATTCTAAACAGAAAAATTGGTATTCCAATTTGTGCAATCGATGGCTGTCATTATTCGGAGTAAGGACTATTTTCCTGCAAATTTAATGTTACACACGACATTTTACCTTACCTACTAATATATCATCGAACAATTTTCCAGGCTGCCTTAAAAATACTTATCATGATGTTAGTGAACTGGTATTATGCTTTAGCATGTATCACAGCAGTGTTTCTTGTATGGTTGTATATTGGAACAGCAAATCCAGCTGTGAAGCCTGGAATTGCCTCCGAGTTTCGTTTCTTGAGGTGGTTGAGAATACTACTACTCAGGTGTATTGGGTAAGTCACCCGATTACAAGTTATATGCAGGGTGTTCCAGATATATGTGCAATAATTTCAGTGAGTGTAATGTTACTCAAATCTCTTTGTCGTAACCTCCATATTAATTGCATAATCTTGAATAATGACAAAGGAATTACAAATTTGGTACATGCAGAGTTGATTTCTTCGAAAGCGATGACGTACATTTCGTCGATGACAATACCCGTACCTATTTCAAAAGGTAGGTAAGCACATTGCCTAAGAATTTGTGAATAAAATGGCGACTGATGGACTCACAATGAAGTTTGAATAAAGATAAACCTTTTCCTTGGTTTTTAATAGTTCATATTTTCGTTCATCTTTTCTTTCGTAAACTCCAGTTTATCACATTCCAGATCAAGAATGAGTAGTAATGTCATTTTCTCTGTTTATCGTGTATGCGACTCAGTGCAATGAAATATATAGAGATAGTTTCCGTATCCAATTACAACCCATTGTTTTGAGCAAAAGGAGTGGAGCCACGGTGGAGGAAGGCGAATAAATTATACAGATTGCAAAACGTAACGAATAAAAGGTTAAAACAAAAAGAACTGATGCCATCCGAGAGCGGCTAATCTTGCCTAGGTTCATGAACCCAGGGTACTAACAAATCATAATATTTATTAATTAACAAGCCCGATCAGTTCATTCCAAGAATAGGGAGGACATTTCTATAACTTATATTGTACTGAGGTGTGCTGTGTGTATTTTCAATGAATCTGGCTAATAGAAATTTCGAAACTAGCATCTTGCCTGGAGAGAAGAGAATGATTCAGATAATAATATGTCCATTATTCACATTCACACGGAATAATGCAATTAAATAAATAAATAAATAAATATCTTTATTTTCCTTTGGACTTTCTGAAAAAGTATAGGAATAGTCAGGTTGTTACAAGTATATAAATCTAAAACTAGATAAATGACAGATTACATAATATGATAGACGAACATTATATAAAAGAGAGAAACATGGTCATTTATGAAAATATTCGTTAAGCGAGTAGAAACACTTTTCAATGAGAAATGATTTCAAGCATTTTTTGAAAGAAGATACTTTTTTTGCGTTTTTCAAATATTCAGGTAAGTTATTGAATATTCTAGGACCTAGGATATTTGGTGTATTACTCAAAATATTTGTTCTGCTTGGTTGAATATAGAATTCGTTCCTCGAGCGAGTATTCACATCATGTTTATCACTGTTGCGAGCAAACAGTTGCTTGTTAACAAATACATAGATACATAATTCAAATATAAGGAGGCAGGGCAGCGTTAATATCTTCAACCTTACGAAAAAAGGCTTGCAGGAATCCATTCTCTGAATGCCCATCATACTTCTTAAAGCCTTTTTTTGAGCCAGAAAAATATCCTTTGCTGATGTAGATGACCCCCAAAAACATATACCATATCGGATACGTGAGTCCACTTGAGCAAAGTAGAGACTGCACAATTGATTTAAATTCAAGGTATTTCTCAGAGTTCTGAGTTGAAAATGTATAACATTAATTTTTTTCACAATGTATTCACAGTGCTTATTCCAGGTAAGACATTCATCAAGAAATACGCCTAAGAATTTAACAACCTCCTGATTCGTGTTTAGGGTTGACTCACCAACCCTAAAGCTCAGATCATTACATTGTTTTTGTCTCGTATGGAATCTAACTTATGAAGTCTTGCTGCTATTAAGAAACAAATCATTGTTTGCAAACCATTCCTGTAGAATAGAGAAAGTGTTGTCAATTTTGCCTATTAGTTCTTTGTCAGCCCTATCAGAGATCATTATCGAGGTATCATCAGCATAACAGGTGAGGGATGCTGGAACATTCAATTGATTTATATCATTCGTATAGAGGTTAAAAAGTATCGGAGCGAGGATGGACCCTTGCGGCACTCCCAGGGTTACGTTCTTGGCATTAGACCGAGAATTCTTCAAAGAGACAAATTGTGAGCGATTTGATAGATAACTGGATATCCATGCGAGAGCGATTCCTCTTATTCCGTATCTGTACAGTTTTTCGACAAGAATTTCATGATTTACGCAGTCGCATTACTTATCTGAAACCCAGGATGGTAGGTCCTTCTCTGATTCGTCTAGATTCTAGATCCACTATGATAACAAGAGTCAGGTATCTATTCTATGCTGTCGCTTGATAATTCCACGTGTATATAGTGGCCTGCTATGCAAATGATGGCTAGATCCTCTCCTCGCCGTTTCGTCTGCCCTGTTGTTGTCTTCCTGGCACCCATATTAGCGTTCCGTTTCTCTACAGACATCTGGGGGCAGTTCCAGATTAGTCTGAATTGTTTCTGATCGTATGCTATGCCATTATCGAGACATTATTATGAGATAGGATGTTAATCATCTCAACTGAACATGTCCCATATCTGTTCTCCTGGACACAAGCTCCCCTAATGAGCTGATTTATCACATCTCGTGTACACCATTCCAGCGCCTGTTCCTTTATTTGTTTACCAGGTTGTTGGATGGTTTGCCAACCAACAAGTGAGTACTTACTTCAGTTCAGAGGGCCTGTATGTTCATGCATCATTCAATAAATTCTGATATGCAAAAATGCACCCGAATTTTTTGCAGAGTATATCCAGTCCAGAGTATTTTTTCATTTGATTTCTCTAAATATATACACTACGCCGTCCACGCCTACCAATCTCCTAGCAATTATAATCCAATCTCTGAATTGGCAAGTGTCAACTTTGCATGTAGACCATAATTATTATTCATCATAAAAAAACATTATTTATCTTAACAAATTTTGAATTGAGATTAATTTACGAGAATTTTTTTTTGTATAAGTACATATAACCCAATTTATAGTACGTATATCTGGAACAGTGTGTATATGATGATATAATGATATATAATATCAAAAATATACAACATAATTTGACGGATTAGTGTTGAATTTAGAGGAATAAGCAAAATAGGGGTAACAAGTTTTGAAAATGCGCCGCCAAAGAGAATTTTGTTTTCGAGCTCAAATACCTGTGTAGATATAGATGATATAGAATAATCATTTTGCCTAAGGTGTGGAAACATCATGATATTATGCAACTTGAAGAAGGGGTAGTCAGGATCTTTATAACCTTTCGTCATCTTGACCAATTTGAACTCTTCTGGAATTATCCTATGGAAACGCACATTGAGGATATGTTGATCATATAACTGTTATCAATGAATGATAATATGCTTGTGAGAAATATCCAGTTCATTGTTTATCAAGATCTTTTAATACACTGAGAAGGGCAGAACCATCAACGCTAAGAATTGGAGAATCGAGACTAACATGATTTTGCACAGAAGCAATCAATATATTCTGTGAAAATGATGAAAGGAGACTGCAATTTGTATTAGAATTGTAGAATGAAAACTGAAAACTAAAGGTTCGTGATATCATGGTTTCTATGTTCCATTTTCCTTATCCAAATGTGATTTTTGATTGTTATTTTTTCACAATGTCTCATAATTTTGAGAATGTTGTACACAAATATAATCAGTGGTTCTAGTCGTAAGTCATGATTGTAGAATGTTTTCAACATTTTGTCTCATCCGCCCCCCCCCCAGCATTTTTTCTCTGGCGGCGCCCATGCGAATAACCCTTATCATTGTACCCCTCTCATGCAAACGCCGCCCCTGCAGTGAATAATGACAACATTATTTTGCAGATGGTCGAAATCTATCATTCCGTCACATTTTGTGAACTTGACTTTTGGCTTGATATTTATTTGGGTTGATGAAGAAACGATTTTTTAGGAGGCGGGTCACAGATTATGAACAAATAGTCAATACCCCTGTACATTCGGGGTTGGAGGTAACCTCTACGCAGTTGAACGAGGACAATCTGGACTTCCCTAACAGGAGAAGGTACCATCAGTCTGCAACTGTCGAAGGATATACTGTCAGCATCGATGACTGACATCTATTTGTTGGAATAACCAGTTTACTAACTTTCAATTCCTAAACAAACAAGAAACAAGTATAAATTAATTGGACACTTCATAAACTGATTACCTCAACTGTCAAGAAATTTGAAGGATCTTTTTGAAGGCTCAGCATATTAACGTGGTAACACCGATAGTATAATACGGAATACCATTGGGAAAATAGTGCTGTAATGATTGAAAATTGTGTTGCAATGACACTGTATCAGTTTTGAACTGATGCAATCCCAATCGGACTCACAATTTCAATGTTGAAACGTCAAATTGAAATAACCATTCGCAGTAAGTTCTTGTGAACATTTTGTTTCAAGCAACTCTTCAAAATATCCGTGATTTAATTTTTGATCACATAAACTATATAGGTACTTACATACAAATTGATCAATCATTCCATTAAAATAAACAACATGTGTCTCTCAGTAGATATAGACATTCCTCCATCATGCGTCATATCTTCGTAATAGAATGTTGATTATCTAAAACTATCAGTTGATTTTTATGCATATTATCCCTCTGCATCCTATGATTTTTTTGGAACTACAAATTAACAGGTTGAAAAATACTTAACCTTTAACCTTTAATCACTTCTTCATCCCTGAATTTTTGGATATCTTCAACAAAATTATTCAGTTTTGGAATTGAGTTTATAAGGGATTTTTCAGAATTATTCATTAATTAATCGGTCATTTTTCATCGGTCAATTTGACTGATGCACTGACATTGCACTCGGCTCGCACGACCTCCTAGAGTATTTGCGAAAATTGTTGCACCGAGTGCAACACCAGACGCACCAGTTTTTCGATGAGGCACAGAAACCATAACTGGTTTTACCAATGTGACGCATTATATGGACTCAGTGCGCACGAGTTTTCCCAATGGTATTCGCTATAAATGAAGTTCAGATTGCGGGAAGAATATAAAGGTTATGTACTCAACTGAACAGATTTTACCTTCATATCAAACTGATACAGGAAAAGATACGCACAATTTTGCCCGGAAGTTCCTCGAGCAGGCGCATATATACATGAGGGCGAATTAGGGAAGGTAATAATGAAATACTTCCGCTACTTTCAAAATGAATAATAATAACACATAAAAAATACGAAATCAGCATAAAAGTATCTCAATTTTTTTTGCCTTCACCTTCTTCATATCCATCATGTTGTAAGATAATCAAGTTTTCGGTAAATTGCATCTAGGTTTGACCAAATGATCGCTTATTGGTGTGATATATTCCTGATTAGTACTATCAAAGAAGGTAGTCATTAATTATTCTTATATTTTTCATCGAGTAGAAACGACAGCCCCACTTGCGAACAAATCAAAGCTTAACATAATAGTAATATTTCCATTATTTTTTCGGTCATAATATAATATGACTAGCCTTTATAGAACTAGTGGAGGAGTATTACTAGATCATTTATGCATTTTTGAGTGAAATGTTTTTGATATCCTCATAACATCTTGTTTATGGTCGCCAAAACGTAGGTTAGGCATCATTTGATTAACTTTCATTTGAAATGACGAACTGACAATAATACTTTCCACCTACCCTTACAGAATCCTAAAGGAACAATCTCATGGAATGATGAAATAAACATTTCAATTTTTATAAGCATTTACTAGAAAACAGGTGTAACGACCAACTGTTTTCAAATAATAGAATGTGTTGCACGAAAGTAAGTCATCAAAACGGTTATACCATACATTATCCTCATCTTCTATACCCGCCACATTAAATCCGCGACATTATATCCGCGACATTATATCGGTTTCATTATATCCGCGACAAAGAAATATGTGATTGAATGAAATCAATATCAAAATTTGTGATACAATAAAATACAATGAACGCGACAACCCGTGCTGGGGATTTGCCCCTGGACCACTTACCTAACCTCAACTAAAATACAAGATACAAAAAACATATTTATTGATACAGTAAACTTTTATTACCGATAGAGAACATGATAATGATTTCTGCTAAATAAATACTATGATGATCGAGATGATGAACCTATAGAATCTCAAAACTAAAAGATTGTAGGGGCATGCCGCAGTCGAACACAGACCCTCACGTCTGTGCTCTACAGAAAGACAAAATGTCATAACTTTGCTGTCTGTGAATATCGAAGTGGTTTGATGTCCCACTGACATGATGACGAACCTAGAATTTGACTAAGAGAATCTATAGGAGAATTTCGTGAATCGATTGTCAGCTGATGCAACGCACACTGTTTCGGCTCGCCAAACCTCATCAGTTGCACTAGGCCAGCTGACAATCAGTTCACGACAGTTACTTCTATATATGCTACACTTTCTTCTTAGAAAGAACATTGTTCGGAAATTTACTTGAGCGAAAAATGAAACTACTTTTTCTAGATAATCTAACTTAACTCGTCCCAAATGAATATTCTTCCTAGAAAGTATATTCTGGATTCGATTAAAAATAAAAGAGCTGGCCTCCGCAGGGATCATAGAGTCACCGATGAAAATGGTATACCTAGACTTTTGTCTTCAAATAGGTGAGAAAAAGAGATATAAAACAGGATGATACATAGCCATTGACATGCGGATAAAGGGCCATGAATATAATTACGCTGATATAAGGACACGGATATACTGTCGCGCGGATATAATGTCGCGGATATGACATGTTACCATAAAGGTTACCTAGACATTTCACCCCTTGAAACACACCTCTAAGCTTTAATTGAATCATTTTCTATTTCTGGATATCGTGTTAGCTCACGACCATAGATATGTATTCATAACACATTTAACATACATGTATCGTAGCGTCTCAGATAAAAAATTTACATTTGCCTATAATGAAGATTCAAAAAGTAACTATCATTTGCCAACACTCACATAGTTCACGCCTTCGAAGAACTTTCCTCTTTGTAATCAAGCTACTGTAATAATTGTCTGAGTGATGTTACTCGAGAAAATACTCGTAAAAATGAACCTATTTAAAGTGCTATTATTGATGCACATCGTTAGGTCCGTGTAGATAAAATGCGATTGATATATTTTGTATGGAGAATTTTTATAGTAAATAATGTTCCTGTATATTTTTATCTAGTTTCACTAAAGTATACTTATTTGTCATCAAAAGCATAAAATATCTCGATGATTGCCGCCCCTATGTATGGCTCTAATATGAATTATCACCCCAGAACACAAAACTGTTAATCTACCTGTAGGTACTGTATATGCGATGGTCCTTGATAAGTACATCTAATGTTTCATCATGCTGACCTTAAACTTATTTCACTTCTGTTCTGTTTTGGGTACATAATTCTGAACTTCAATTGCTAGATAACTTAGTTCTGCAATAAAGTACTGAAAGAAATAATATATTTATATAAATGTACAGCAATGCATTTTTACAGTACACTAATTTTATTAAATATTAATTTATTATTCATGTGTTTCAATGACTACAAAAACAGATAAAAAAAGATCGAGTATAGTACAACAAGTCAACTTCGAATTTTAGTTTCTCGATAACCAAATACCTTGATTTCACATCCCAGGCAACCAGATGACGTTTCATTGGATTTTTATATACAGGGTGTAACTGAATAAGTGTAAAACATTTAAGGAGGTGATTCCTCATCGAAAAAAAGATAGGATCTTTCATATAAAGAAACTTCATTGGAGCATCCCTTGTTAAGATACAGCCCCTTAAAGGGGGTACATAAAATTTGTGTAACAATTTTTTTCACAAACACTGAAAAAGTTACAATATTGAAATTAACCTGACAGCGTCATACCAATTTAATTGTCACTATCGCTAATAGCGACCTACTAGATAGATTAGTTTCGTATTTTCGCATTTATGACGATGTATCTCTGTAGTTGTTCGTAAAATAATGTTTTGCTGCTTACTGGTTTATTTTGGGCAAAAAACCCAAGAGACATTTTTTGTTTAGAATGAAACAGGCTATCGGAAATAAATTTTTAAATGGTAAACAAATAATAAGACAAAAAGTTACATTGGAAATAAATTTTAGGGGTTGCGTTTTTCACCCCTTACAACCATGGGGTAAACCAAATAAATTACTGGCTAAGTGTCTTTTTGGTAGTACAAAACGTCAGGTTAATTTTAATATTGTAACTTTTTCAGTGTTTGTGAAAAAAATTGTTATACAAATTTTATGTACCCCCTTTAAGGGGCTGTATCTTAACAAGGGATGCTCCAATGAAGTTTCTTTATATGAAAGATCCTATCTTTTTTTCGATGAGGAATCATCTCCTTAAATGTTTTACACTTATTCAGTTACACCCTGTATATATGACACGTTAGAGATGAAACTAGCTTGCTAGTGGGGATTGCAGCAAAGTAAAGATGAACTCATTACAGTTTGTCCGAGCTTTCGGAAATATATATTTCCTTCATCAGGGCGACTAACAATAGAAATTGAAATGTGTACATTGACAATAAAATTGAGGATTGATCAAATGGTATTTACACTATTTGAGGATGATTAACATGGTGTTAAGAGTTTTTGAAAGTCGATGTACAGTGTCACGAAACATTCAAAATTTTTGAGAAGGACGAAAAAACGTTAATTCAAAAATAGTTTTATCACAAATTAAATAACTGAAAGTTTTGTACAACGTTTCCATAACGTTGGTCAACTTTAAGATTTACTCCTTCTTCACGCCTGCCTAAAGATGAATTATAGGTTGATAGTACATCCAACTATTTGTGCGTCTTTATTGGCTCTTTATCAGGAATTCTATAAAACATTGAAATTAATATGAAAATTCAATCGTTATTATCGATTACTGAAATACTTACGGAAAATGAGGTAATGATTCCAGAGATATATCGAGATTTTTCAACTTTGGGATTTTTTTGTGTTGAAACTATTCATCATCGGTTTAAACGGCTTCCATCATGGCTCTATTTTAATTCTTCATTCACCATATATCAATTGATATTTAATTGGAACAGATACAATAAGGTGATCAGAATTTTGAATTATAAAGCACCCTTTATTTGTTTCAATTAAATGTCCATGGATCATGGATGTAAATCAAAGGTTGAGAAAGGGACATGAAAGCCGTTTTTACCAATAATTATTAGTTACGACACATAAAATTTCTAAATTTGAAATATCTCGATGTTTCACCCCCTATATATTTCTGTAATCATTCCCGCTAGACCCCAATGTGTGGATCGGTAAAATCCGCTCTTCAGGGTGATTCCGAAAATACTATTATGAATTGTCTGTTATTCAATCTCCCGAATACATACAACATTTAATCGACTACGAAACGCGGACACCACATATCAATTCATCTTTTCGATGCCGCTGCCGGAAACTGAGTTCCCCTTTTGCTGCTGTCGACCTCGACCCTGTCCTTCGCGCTGTGCACTTGCCGTGCCAGATTTGCATCATCATCACAGTTCCATTCGAAATCACATAGTTATTGCTCTGTTTAGATAGAAGCGGCAACGCCAAAGCTCTGAAAATATTTTAGATTGATAGAACAGAACTCATTACCCAAGAAATCAAATTTTCAAAATGATCCTATGTCCCTCTCTCCAGAAACGTTTAATAGGCCTTCGAGTTTGAGACACCTTGTATATATATTATACACATACATACCTAACTATAGAGAAACATGACGTTGACACGACGTCCCTGCAACGTCATGATACTGAAGTCATATTTCACTCATTCAATCGACGTTTACTCAACGACGTCATAGAAAGTACGTCATAGTGACGTCTGAAATAGGTGTGTGACGTCTCTGGCAAAAAATCACGTATTGGGTATGTCACAGTGACGTGCCCATTCGTCATCTGGTTGCCTGGGTTACTGGTCTATAGGCCAAAGCCCCCGGGGTTCGTATCCTGTTCCACATATACTATCTTTTGTGTTTTCGAAGTGATTGAATTGAAAAAAATACTGTGAAGGCATTCGAACTGTTGAGGCCGATAATGATTCGCAATTTCGATGAATTTTTTTTCAGGATAGGACATCGTAGACCCATGAACTCTGAGTTCATTGTCGTAGACTAGCTAACAAATTAAAAATTATCGCCA